AGGACCGGAAGTTGCCCCAGAACTACCGGCCCATCAGCCTGGTTTCCTCGATGGGCAAAGTAGTCGAAAAGGCTATCGCCGTTCGACTAGAGAAGCAGGCAGAAGAACTGCAACTTCTCCCCCCAGAGCAATTCGGCTTCAGATCCTCCCACAACACGGAACTCCAAGCGCTACGACGGAAAACATCACCAGCGGCTTCAATCTCCAGGAGGCAACCGGTCTCGTCCTGCTGGACGTGGAACGAGCCTTCGATCGAGTTTGGCACGATGGACTCATCGCCAAAATGGAAGCCGCCGGAATCGATGCGAACATGTGCCAACTGATCCAGAGCTATCTAACACAAAGATGGTTCACGGTGAAGATTGGTACATGCCATTCAACAAGACGACAGCTGGAAGCAGGCGTGCCACAGGGGTCAGCCTTAGCCCCCCTGCTCTACAACATCTATACTCACGATGTGCCGAAGACAGCTGACACAATGCTGGCCCTATATGCAGACGACACTGCTATAGCCGCCAAGCATAGACGACCCGAGATCATCCGTAGGAGACTACAGGATGAACTGGACCACATCCAGGACTGGTGCGTGAAATGGAAAATCCGCATCAACGTCCAGAAGACGCAGGCAATCTTCATTCAACGAAGAAGGATTGCAAGACCTCTCGAAGCATCCATCTTCGACGAAGATATCCAGTGGAGCGACAAAGTCAAATATCTGGGGATCGTATTTGACAAGTCCCTCACCTGGAAAGCCCACATAGAAGCTGTCATCGCAAAAACCAGAGCAGCCATGGCTCAACTCTACCCAATACTGGGTAGACACAGCCGGATGCCGCTAGCGACCAAGCTACGGCTGATCAAGGCCCTCGCCAGACCTCAGCTCGCTTACGCCTCCGCGGTCTGGGGGTACGCTGCCCCCAGCTACCGCAAGCGACTTGCTGCTCTAGAGATGAAACTACTCCGGATCGCCACCAGTGCACCATCCTACGTAAGAAACTCAACCTTGCGTAGAGACCTGCATTGGGACACCATCCACGATTACATGAGGAAAAAAGCGGAGAAGACCTTCGAGAAAGCTCAGGACCACCCGAACGAGCAGCTTCGATTCCTCATGGACTACGATCCGGACGAGAGGCCTCGCAACCGCAGAACCAGGTACCCCAGACCAAGGTCCCAGTTGGCACCCGCTAACTGGAACCTTGACTAGGAGACTAGGAAACCCGCGGTTGCTCCCCCCCCCCACGGCGTGGATGCAGAGGACCAGGAACCACCGGGACCAGGACCCACCGGGACCAGGACCAACCAGGACCAGGACCCGCCACGACCAGGACCCACCAGGACCAGGACCCTTTAGGACCAGGACCAGGAACAACATATTGGTAAGAGGACTTGAAACTCTTGATTTTTCGAAAACAAGAGTTTCAAGAGAACCTAGCAGACCCTCTATCGATGATCGCTTAACGACATCCATAGAATGTGCGAGGTAAAGGGAACCAACCCGGCGTTCCCAGAGACTGAAACACATGAGGAGACGTTGTAGCAGACCGCAGGTCACGCACAACACATGGCCTACCGAGACGCTGATAAGTCGGGCCACGCGGAGGTTTAGGGTTTAGTGGGTATTAGGTGATCTCCTCAAGACCCTGGAGTCCCACACACGCCGTAGCTCGGGCTATGGTATGGTGCGTAAATGCATTCCCCCCTCACCAAAAAAAAAAAAAAAAAAATGTCCTAAATTTTATCTACGAGTGTCAGCTGGGCCGACCGGTACCGGTCGGGTTGGAGCGTTGGAAGCGACGGCAGAAAAGGTACGACCTCTAGCGCGCTCGTGTTTGGCGCTGGTTGCCCAGCGGGTCGTGTTTACGTGTTTAAAAGTGCAGATTCGGTATTGTCTTTATCAAATCTAACAATAGGTTTTTTACGTAATAACCCTGCCGAAGTCGATAGAATGCTGAGCATTCAAGTAACTAGGGACTTTTCACCAAATCGTTTTTATTTCTTCCTGACTTCATTTGAGGTGAGATTTTGAAATAAATTAAACATTATGATTGCCACTTTTTTCCTCTATACGGTGAAATAATAAGAATTTCAGTATGACATTTCGCCTCTTGTCCTCAATCATATACAGGGTTATCCAAATTAAGTGTCCACCATTAGTAACTTTGTTATTAGTGAAAATACAAAGTTGTTTGAATTAGCAAACTAGTAGCATTTTTAACGCTGGTAAAAATGAGAAATAAAAAAAAACAATTGAGAGTCGTTATTTTGATTTTTTTCAGTAAAATAACATTTTTTTAAATGGAAACCCCTGTATATTATATTTTTTTCTGTTAAAGCATCAAATTTTAAACAAAAAAGCTTACAATAACTTTTCTCCTAGGTTACAAATTGTTGAAGTTATGGCCTCCAATCTGAAACAATTAAATTGTATCGACAAACTTTATTTTCAACATCAACTTATAATCTTACAAAATACAATAACAATTTTTTTTAAAGAAGATGCTCGAAAACACCACCTTGTTCTTCAATACATTTTTGGGCACTTTTTTCAACTGCTCGAACTGTCTTAAGTATGGTCCTACCATCTATCTGGGTTATCTTTTCCCTAACTGCAGTCTTTAAAGCGTCAAGGTTATCGTACCTTCGCTTGTAAATTTGGTTCTTTAAGTAACCCCACAAGAAGTAATCAAGTGGGTTTAGATCTGGTGATCTGGGAGGCCACTGTATTGGGCCATTTGTTCCTATCCACTGATCATTAAAAGTAGTACTTAGAAAATGATAAGTACCTCTGGAGTTGTGGGCAGGTGCGCCATCTTGCTGAAAATGCAGATGATGTCTACTTATAAGATCCAATTCGTCTAAGAAATTAGTCAGAATTTCTGACATAAATTCCACATATCTTTCACCAGTTAGGGTTCCCTCATAAAAGAACGGGCCAACAATTTTTGAACCAATTATACCGCACCAAACGTTGAAACTGAAACGGACTTGTGGGCCTCTTGGATGTACTAACAAAAGATTTTCTCTTGACCAATAATGGTGGTTTTTTCTATTAAACATTCCAGAATTTGAAAAATTTGATTCATCTGTCCATAAAAGATAACGAAAGTTATTTACATTTTGGCGACAGAAGCTAAGATACCAATGGCAAAAAACAAGTCTTCTCTCTGGATCCCCTGCCAAAAGCGTTTGAACTGGTCGGTACTTATACGGAATAAATTTGTATTTTTTTAAAATCCTTTGAACAGTACCATAACTGAAATTAGAGTCCTTGAGAATATCTGCTATTGAATTCTCACGATAAGCTTCAAAATATCCAATAACTGCAATTTCCGTGGCCTCGCTTATTATGAATTCTTTTTTTGCCCTTGTTTTAGCAAAAACATTTTCGTTGCCCCTAAATTTTCGATAAAGTCTCAGAAAATATCGTTCATACGGTTGAATGCGAGCGGGATATAATTCACTGTAGTATTCTCTTGCTCTCAAGGAGGATTTTCTGCACACTGAATAGCATTCTAACATATCACACTTTTCTTCATGGGAGAACATTTTTCTTTAAATTAATGACACAATAAAGCTTATAAACAAGTATTTACACTAATGTTTGACATTATTTGATTTTATCATTGTTTTCCAAAGCCTTCTAGTTGCGAGTATGTCCAGTTTGTCGCTTATCTTAATGCTGTCAAATCGCGAACGCCATGTTGTTTTCATAGCCGTCTTAATATTATAATACTGCAAATAATTAAAAATATTTATCGTTATTTTGACTTTATTTTTGACTTTAGCGGAAAAGTCATTATGAACTTTTTTGTTTAAAATTTGATGCTTTAACAGAAAAAAATATAATATACAGGGGTTTCCATTTAAAAAAATGTTATTTTACTGAAAAAAATCAAAATAACGACTCTCAATTGTTTTTTTTATTTCTCATTTTTACCAGCGTTAAAAATGCTACTAGTTTGCTAATTTAAACAACTTTGTATTTTTACTAATAACAAAGTTACCAATGGTGGACACTTAATTTGGATAACCCTGTATATCTTATGTTTGTATAATTTATCATACATTAATATTGTGAAGCTATATCTATTTGAAAGAACATTATTTCCTAATTAGAATTAAGGATGAGATAATCAGTTGTACCTATTTCCAGTTTTAATGATGCAATATTGTACAGGGTGGCCAACTATGAATGCGAGGTATTGTATCTGGAAACCTATCCATCGTAGAGGCTTGCGGCAAATATGTTCACTAAAACGGTCAAGAGAAAAACCTAGAAAATAATTTCAAGTTTCTGAAATGGCATCTAGGGGGCGTCACTGCAATCTTGAATGTAAAAGAGTGATGTTTATGTGAATTACTCTATATTAACCTAACATAAAATTACCTGATTTCCAAAGTCGAGGATCATATGACCTTTTTTTGTTCGACAATTTTTGCTGTATCTCTAAAAATAAAGTAGTGGGGGGTATTCAAAGGTTTCCATAAAACACAACCTGTATCTTCGAAACGAGTCAGTTTTAACAAACTTATGCTAGTTGAAAAGAACTATTACAAACGTTATATTTGAAGTTTTGTTAGTTCCACTTGTTGCCGCGCTAGAGGGCTTTTTTCGACACTCCGACAGAAGTGGTTAATTTTCTCAAAAAATTTAAATGCATTGGTATTATTTTTTTTATGAAAAAGTAGCTAAATCATGCCTGAACAAGTTCGCATGTCGATATCTTGTTCCTAACCTAAAATTTAGGGCAAAGAAGATTTTGGTCTGTAGGTCGGTTATCACTAAAGTTATTCACAAACATTATTGTAGGTAACTGTATGGTCCTTACTTACAATGCCGGTCTCTAGTGGTTCATACTATAGAGTTTGTATTGCTGGTTGTTGAGTTATGGGATATTTTATCGGAAAAAACGTTTGACAGCCTGGAAGAATGATGTCAGTTTTGCCGACAGAGGAGCGAACTTTTTATAGGTCTAAAAAATATTAATCAATCTTACCTAGGCCTGCTATTCTCATCCATTTCGTCTTCTCCGCTCCCCGCAGCCTGCTGCAAGAGGAACATCTCCTTTTCGAAGTCCTGCCTGCAGAACAGCTGTCCTGCGCGCAGCACGAACTGCTCGCCCTTCTGCAGGGGTTGCCTGCATACCACACAAGCAAAGCACTGTAGGTGGTACACGTGTTGCTGAGCGCGCATTACAAGCTCATGTGGTAGCAGGCGGTCACCGCAACGAGAACATTTTATTCCGAATATCCTGGAAGCAATATTCAAAATTGGATACATGTAAAAAATAATCTTCTTTCGTTTATTCAGTCAAGCGTATACGTGGTTGTTCATCCTGATTAGGAATCATCAGTACGATATAGTAAGATGCCGCTGATTCCAGTTTTAGCACATTTGAAACAAATTTCAACTTAATTATGCACCTATTTATTTTAGTATTGAGTTTTAGTAATGATTTAGTACGTAATTGCCCAAATATTGCATTTTGCCATGTTTGGGCAAAATTTATCCATTTCCGAATACTTACATCGCTTACTATTTTTATGTGAGCGAAGGTCGCAACACTTTCTACTTCGAATCTATAATACAACATACTAAGACGCAGAACATATATGAAAAATGATGTCAAGTAGGTTGACTCTGTACTTCTCATGCAACGCTTCAATTCACTAAGGATTGCTCCATCATTTCTTAAAATATTGTGTTCGAAATAGAGAAGTTAACTAAGAACATCTATAACAAAGGGATTCGATGAATTGGGACAGGCAAAGAGGCATATCCAGCTGGTCTCCAGCCTCAGGTCTTGCTCTCACCTCCCCCCCTGAGAATCTGACTGAATATGTGTACTTATAAAAATACTGTTAAGTAGATAACTTTGGGCTTTTTAAGAAACAATGAACTTGGAATTTGAGCTATTTCCAGTGCCGGAAGTTTCGCTTATAGACCCCGATCCTTTGCTTTGGAAAATTTTGTTGTTTGTCGCGTGATGTCCTTCTCGCACCCGGGTAATCTGTGATATATTAATTTGAGAAACTTCTTTGAAGAGATTGTATCTAACGCAATTGCAGTAGATACCAAAATCAAGTCAACAATAATAAAATTAATAAGATGAAGAGAAACTATGTTACAAATAGTACACACCCTAAAAACGTGCTTCCTCCAGCAACACATTTTCTCAAGCATTTTTTCCTTGAATTTATTGAGGCGGGCTGGCGCGTTTTCTCCAAAGATGCTCCGTACTGGAAATTCGCATTCTTTATTAGAATCCTTTGAATGTTAGTAGATATTTCTCAAAGGCGCCGAAGCGGATCCAATATTGCTGCCCGGAATACCACGGCTTCGGGCTCCGAGCTGGAGAGATCCCTGAGCAAAGCACGAAAGCGAAATTGCATACGGAGCATTGTTCGGCGGGAAGCGGAAAAATTCTACAAAGGGACGCTCCCTCTCTCAGATATTATGATAAATTCGATGAAAATTATGTCTCAGGCGAAGTATGAACATTCAGATTCGCTGTGAAAGGAGAACTGGTAATGTCTAGTATGTAGTACATTACTTACAGATATAGATATTTTATTGGTGTCTATTGGGAATGGGTAACTATTAGACACTACCACCATGCGGACAGCGCGTGAAGTGCTACAGAGTAAGGTAGTAAAAAATGACACGAGTTTCTTCAATAAAAAGTAAAACAGGACTTGATGACAGAAACACAATAAGTAAAGTGACGTCATTCTAAATGCATTATGGTGGCCGTCGCAAAATGACGACTTATTATTTCTAGTCACCCCTATGATATGGATATCTGATGAAAGGATTCTAAATTGAGATATTATGTCATTCACGTTTATAGTTTGTCCGGTAGTATACTTGCATCTTTTTTAACTTGAAAAGTATTAGCTGGATTTTGGTGTTTTACCACAAAGATACGTAATTGATCTGTCACCGTTTTAGTTATGACTATCTAACAGGCATGGTTGAATTTTGAGGGGCGCGAGGGGGCGTTCCAGCCTAGATAACCCAAGTGAGCCATTTTTTTAAAAGGCTTAAGGGCTTAGGCATGCAGCCCCCGGCCCTCCTGTTCTTCACTTTTTAATCGCCGCTACCCTCTCCAGAGACGAAATTGATTCTAAACATGAATGCCAGGACCACTGCTTCACCCCACCCACCTGACAAATTCCTAAATCCGCTTTTCCAAATACGCAACGTTTGGTCCCATTTTCAACCCCTCAAAAGAAACAAAATCTGAATATGATCTGAAATCTGAAGAAAATAGAAGTTTGAACGATTTTAATTTTTTCATTTTGTTTGTTTGTAGCTCTTCCGCCACTGGATCTATTTACAAAAACTACAAAGCTTATTTGTACCTGGAATGATATATCAAAATTTCGTCAAAGTGTGATGGTACTTTCCAAGTTATAAAAGCAACCAAGGATAAGCTGACAGATAGTTTTTTGTATTTATATAATAATAATATTTATTCACTCAATGTATAAAGAGAATAAGCAACATGAGTAAATAAATATAGAATCCAAACAGGCTCAATAGTTGGCATTGCATATACGAGTATGTTACATATGACATGTAACATAAAAAAAAACATACTAAATATTTAGTTTTTCACGATCAACTTAATTCTTTGCCAAATGGCGTGGAAAGTAAAAATCTAAAAAGAACATTTAACACATTCATTTGCTTGTAACAAAGAGTCCAACGATTTTCAAGTGGAAAAAATATCAGTAAGTATCAATGCACTGAACACTCTCCTATGTATACCCTGGTACCGAAAAGGAAGAGAGCAGCGCACGCTACTTTGAATTGACAAAGTCGGAGCGCAGGTATCATTGCCATATTTAAGGAGATGCCCCGCTTGTAGTGGAGTGCTTTGTGTTCCCTGTTTCCAATTACTTACCTATCATAATCAGCCTTGCAGTATAGTTTAGTATTCCTAGTGTAGCAGGAATGTTGCAGCAGTATGCCACACATCGAGCATATAAGGCAAGCTTCGTGCCAACTGGTATCAGCCACACGCATCAGGTATCTATCGTGAATTTTCAATCCGCATCCCTCGCATATCTCGCAGTTTTTCTCACATTTTATTTGGCTTCCTCCACCTCCACTATCTGAGAAAAAATAATAGCTGATGTTTCAAATTTGACACTCATCATTGGGATCTCGGAAACAATAATAGATACGATGTTAGTTAAATGGGGGCAAATTTGCGGTTTTAGATAACTGAGAAATCGGAACGCCCACTTTATATAAAAACTGAAGGGATCCTAGGCTGATGATATCAAAACAAATGAACTATCTGATGATTCTACGGCCTTCTCAGGAAATACCGTTTCTTATAAATGAATCACTTATTTCAAAAGTTATCTCTGAGATAATAAGAAAAACTGATTGGTGTTCTTGAGTGTATTTGAACATAAGTCATTTAGTACAATAGGTCGATTGGTTCATAAAAACGTTCGAACATTTTAAGTATCTTTGGGTCACAAAATGTCACATAGAGCTAGGTTGTTTCTGCGTTAAGCAAACTTTGATGAAAAATATTTCTGATTTTATTTTAATAAAATCAAACTAAACATATTACTTCATAAGTAACTATACACTTAAGGATTGATTAAATCACTCGTTTGCAAACGTCGGCCACTCGAAATATATCCCCAAAAGTTCTGCGTATCTTCATTTCCATCCACATATGAATAAGCCTTCCTTATATGCACCATTTTTTTATCAGAAATGGGAATCTTTCCGTCTGGCAAATCAATAGTCATCACTCCTGGCAGACGCAAGTGAAACGTGTGTTCTGCAAGTCCATCAATATTGTTTCTCGCAACAATAACACCTTCCCCGCAGGAGAGTAGGGAGTTATTGGAATACCGCCATCCACTATTTATACCGACCTTACACTAATAATCACAAATAGAGACTGATCTTAAAATTGTTTCAGAATTAGAGTCATTGGGCGGTTGTTGGGGTATTGGTGTTGGGTCGTTGGGTGCATTTCCGTACATGGATGACAACATTTTTAACCTAAAACTATTGGGATAAAATAAACATGTATCTTGTTTAAAAGTGTACCAAGACTGATTTAATTCCAATAATCTTATTAATCATAAAGTTTTGCTATTGTTTTTGTACTTCTTCGTGTTTTGAAAATCGTTGGAGGCAAAATATCAGTCTTTTTGGTTTGAATTTTCACCAATTAAATTTACAGCGAACAGTACAAAATAATTTCTTTTATCTGCGAAAATTACTATAGGTAAGGTTATTCGCACAAAAGAGAAGAAAATAGTCTTAGCTGTACCAAGATTTTGAACGACCGGTAATAGGAGTAGGCAGTAACATTATTAATTCCACGTCTTATTTTTGTTTTACTGCGGCTGCTCAGATGTCAAATACTGCCAGGAATTATTAGTGCCTGGCTTTATTGGACAATAACTCCCTAGTGTGTGCAGAGACAACCTAAGTCACGGACTAAATTTGTTTATGTGCTCAGGCAATATTTTCGGGGCGTGTACAATGCGTTTGTTTTGTTGGTCTTAGGTTTTACGTATGCTCATTCGGAATATATATATATAAACTATATAATATATAAACTATATAACTCAAAAATGACCAAGAGTGGACTTAAGGTATTTCTATCAGTGATTCAAATAATTATAATTTTACAATCACTTCCACTTTTGAAATCAGAATTGAATAACCTATTTACCTGTGGAAAAATTCAATATGTCGTCCATAAGGAACAATAATTTGATTGATGAAAAGAGTTGAAAAGTCATATTGCAATGTGCAATTTATTTTGGAATTGAAATAATAAAGCCAGAACAAAATAAAAACGATTTTGGGTATATTCGATTTCCTTCGTCTACGTCTACATACTATGATTTGCAAGAGGGGGAGGGGGCAATTTGTTCAGAACATATCAAGTCACTTTAAAGAAAAAATATTCTGATAATTAAACAATGTAAAAGTAAAGTCAAAAGTAATCAACATCCTCCAAACTATAAAAATAAAAACTAATAAAAATAAAATAAAGTAACTAAAAAATTGAATAGGTTATTGCAAAGATCGCGTTAGTTATAGTATTCTTCAGGAGACAAAAAATCTCAATGACAAATAAACCAGTTTTAAAATACCTTCTTGTGCTTAATATTTATCTACTATTTGAATTTTATAAGATTAAAATGTCCATTAACATTCAAATTTAATTGAAAATAATATTGAGAAAAGCTTGACAAATTATTGTGGACTTGTTTTAGCAAGACAGAGTTTTTGAGTTCGTAACTTAAGCAAAAGAATCACATTAAGCATATTTTTTATCTGCTTATTCTTCAAAGTTACACTAAAATTTGACTTATTGGCATGTCACATGTTTTAATCATGCATCTTCCAATTTTGCATGTTTTAATATCTACCTGGAAAACCCAAGCAAAGCGAACGCACTGGTAAACTCTAATCCCCGTTTGACGCCTAAACCATAAAACGGCCCCCGGAACCTGTGTGTTTTACTATAAGAGAGCAAAATGTATATTTTCAACAAAAAAAAATGATTTTGCAAGATAGGTGTTGTGAATGTAATTCCAACTCCATAGTATCTATTCGGACAGCTTTTTAAAATAGTTAGTGTATATTTAAAGCCCTTTTTCAGTCATATATGTGACGGATTGAGTCAATGGCTTTGTTAATAAGTGATTTCTGGCAAAGCCGATGAGATAATTATAATAATAATATAAGTTTATTCACGTATAAAGTATTACAGTTTATTGAAAATAAATATGCATACATATATACGCAAATAAACTGAACTAATCCCACAGAAGAATTTTTCTTGTGCGTGGAAAAACATTTTTTATAACAATTTTTGCTTTGAACATAGTTAAATGTAGTTAATACATAAATTTAAACATAACACAACCATAAAGGTAAGTGCAATAACATTATATTCAAAAACCTATTTTATTTTCATTTGAGTGAGTTTTGCTATTTCATGTTGATTATTATTTAACAAGAATTTTTTTATTTCAATTTTGAAATGTATTTTATATGGCTTGGTAAAAAGTTATAAAATCTAGTGGAGAGGAAACTGAAGCATCCTTGACCTACATTTTTTGTTGAAAATGGTGTTCTTTTAATATCCTCGACTTTACTTCTTCTTCTTCTGACGGTAATTTATTTTTAAGGTTTGTGAACGGCATATACATGGTTTTCTGAAAATTGATTGTTAGATATTTTCTCTAATAATTTATGAATTTTTGAAGTCAAGAAAGAAATCGCGTCTTGAGTGGATTTATTTTTTTGAAATCCAAATTGATTTTCATGTATAAGCTGATTTTTGTTAAAAAAACTAGTGAGCCTAGCCTTTATGATATTTTCAACTACCTTTGCCAAGTTAAATATTAATGTTATTGGTCTATAGTTGCTGATATTAGATTTGTCGCCAGATTTATGAATCGGTGTAATTATTCCTATTTTGTAAGGGTCTGGGAAAACCCCAGATTCAGTTATCAAATTTGTTAAAAATGTTAGAGGTTTTCTAATTTCAGGTGCAATTTTTTTGAGTACCTCCGACCGTATGCCATCTAAATCTGGACTCTTTTTATTTTTTAGGCTGTAAATGGTATATTCTATTTCATTTTCTGTAACTGGTTCAAGAAAGATTGAATTTTGTATGATTACTCTCGATGTAATATTGGTGTTAGGTTTATTTAGTTTAGTTGCCAGTTTCTCTCCCACTTGAACAAAATAGTTATTGAAAACGTTAGTAATATCTGTATCTGCAGTAATTACAGTATTATTAGTTTCGATTTGTTCAAAACTTGTTATTGGCTTGTTTGAGTTACAGATTCGGTTGAGGGTATTCCATACCATTTTAGAATCGGATTTACTTTTTTCTAGTATCTCCATATAATATTTTTGTTTTGTAGCAGTTGGAAAGTTTATTTTTGTAGTTTAAATAATCTTGTTTTGCTTCTTCCGTAGGATTTGCCTGATATAATCTGTACTTTTCATTTTTTTTATTTATTTATGTGATTAGCCCAGTAGTTACCCAGTTTTTTTCTAGAAATTTCATTGTGCTTTATCTTAACTTTGTTAGTATTCTTCGAGATATATTTTTTAATAATGTTGGTGAGATGTTTAGATGCTTCATGTACATTACTTGACCTATATATGTCATCCCAGGGCTCAGTATCGAGATCTACTTCCAGTTTTTTGTAATTTCTTTGTACCTATTATTATTTTTGTTAGGTTGGGTATTAATAAAAGTTTCTCGATTAAGGGATAGTGTTACTATGGTACCATAATTATCGGCAGCGCATTTATCAATTTCTTCTAATCTACTTTTAAGAAAAATGTGGTTAATGCAGGTATTGGATTCTCTAAGGACTCTAGTTGGAGCATTTACAAGCGAAATAAAATTGATTTCAGAAAGCATATTTAGGTACTCATGTACAGATAAGCGGTTGTCATCGATATTTATATTGACGTCACCATTTAAGACACAATAATCCGTATTAGGAGTGCAATCATTCAAATAGTTTCTAAGATCAATTATAAACTATTTCTCATTACTGGAAGGTGGTCTGTATGTTAATATTATTGTGATAACAATTCCAAGTATATTTACCTTTGTCATTACCCTTCACTGAAGTATATGATTTCTGATTTAGTCTGCAAACTTCCCTTTATATAGACTACGACTCAATCATAACCATCTAATTTAAAAAAATGTATATAACCAATAATCCAGGTTTCAGTTAAAATAATAATATCAAATTTTTCCTTAAAAGAACTCAAGTATACGTTTAGTTGATCAAAATTCTTATTTAGACTCCTTATATTTTGGTGAAAAATACTGAAATTATTTCCATCTGAAACATTATATTCCAGAGCACTGTCCAGGACCGTCGTTTCAAAAGGTGTATAGTTTATATCTCTAATATACTGATTCATCATATAAATAAAAAGTCTTTTGTTTAAAATGTAAAAATAAAATTTTCAAAATGTTATTTTTGAAAAATGTTGGTCTTGAAAATGTTTGTCTGTAGCCGAGTGGTTACATCATTAGTTTTCCTATACTTACTGTTACAAGTTATACAATTGATCATTTAGAAAAATTCAATTTACAAGTTACAGTGTCATGTTCATCTCCACATTTTGCGCTGGTTGTAACGCCTCTACATTTTCTTGCTGTATGTCCGAATTTCAGACACCTTCTGCATTGTGTCACTTCATTATCATCCTAGACAGCCGAGAAGTATTTTCGCATTCTTCTTTTCAAATATGTCTCTGTAGATTTCGCCGGATACTTCCGCAAAAATTGTGTGACTATTGCGGTCTGTCATATGTTTTATATATGTAATTTCAATATCGTTTTTTTCTTGTTTGTTTAACTTCGTTTTCCGCAGGCTTTTCATCGCTTCTGTATCCTATTATTTTGATTCTAGGCTTCACTAGTTTCGGTCCAAAAATGATGTAATTTTTTTTAATTTATTCCATTCCTTTTTGTAGTTTTTCGTAATAGTCTTCCATCACTTTAATTTCAACTCCTCCATTTCTAGAATTTTTAAACTTTTCTACATTTACATCGATATTTGATAAATTAATATTATCACAAAGGTCTTTTCTTGTGTCGTTACAGTCTTGTGATGATTCAGGTGTAACGGTAATGCTTTTAGTTTGCATGTTGTGATTCGAATTGGGAATATTTCGCTTCAGAATTTGTGAGTAGTTTCAGAAAAGTATTTTCCTTTTTTATAGCATCTACACTATTACTACCAATTTGACTTATTGGGCTACTGGGAGCTATAATTTCTTCATTTGTATCATATTTCTTTTTCCTAGTCATCCTTCATTCAAGATCGCCCTTTATATTACTTTCAAGGAAGTTTTCAACTTTGACGTTTGTGGGACTAGGATAATTTTGACTATTATGGCGGTAAATGATATAATATTCGAACTGTCTCACCAAGTGCTGCGTCAGGTTTCAATCTCCATAATTGCCAGGAACTCGCGCCAAATTTTTCAATCAGTATAGTCTATAAATAAAGTAGTCTTGGATACAGTATTCGCCCAAGGATTTTCCCGTAAAATTATTTTTGTTGTTAATGATTTTCAAATTGCTATCTTAGTGCATATAGCACATACATAAGAAAATAAAACATATGGTAACGTAATTGGGACCTGGAATAGCGAGAACATATCGTCGCAAAATTAGGCAACCGCGACTCGGCATGGAAGACGCTGGAATATTTCTCGAGTCGTCGATAGGGGAATAAATATGGGTAGAGATGCTAAAAAGGAGACATTGAACGGGCAACGACCGACGAATCAACATAGTTCAATCGACATCTTTATATAAGTATGTCTTGAATTAGTTGCAAGTGTTATAAATTAGTGTAAGGATAATAAACTTTGGATAGTAAAAACGGTGTTTTCGTTACAATATCGAGGCTATCTTCGTCCTGTTTATAAAATGACCCATTCAAGTATCCGTCGTCGAGTAGTGCATGCAAATACCTCTAAGTCTCGCATTTATGTTGTTTATGCAATGAACGCCAATGACGTGGTATTGTTTGAAGGGTATTCAGTTTTCAGTAAGAAAAAAAGTTTGATCTGTGGTTTTTAAAATGATTCAATTATGGAAATATAAAGATAGAAACAGAACTGAACTGAAATCAGTGTGAAAATAGTTTTCTCTAGCAAATCTATCAAAAACAATTCTTAAAAATAGGAAATAAAACGCTGCACATACAGTGTTTGCAACAGAAAAGTATTTACTTAATAGATATTGAGTATATCGTTCTTCCATCAAAAAGTTTGTCCACCAGTAAATTCCAGAGGATGGCTGCCTCCCTTTGCTCTCCTTGCGGACGTCTCTGAATAATTGCGAAACCTTCTGTTAAATGCCATTGTCTTAGTTACTTACATGCGCAACTTTACCCTTCGCATCTCTTACCGTTTACATGATCGCAATATTTGGCAGTCGTGATACTGTCCGTGAAACCTCAATTATTTCCAATACAATTTTGAAAGGATTGTTGAGTGGACCCTTTGGAATACATATTTTAGTTTTTGTGAACACAATGCTAATTAAAAATATGCATAGGCTTACCTAAAGTATTATGGATGTTATTGTTTTCGCACCAGTTTTTCTCGCACTTTATCAGGTTATCTGTAAAGAAATATATCGATCAAATTCTGATTATTTGATATGTTTAGGTTTCCAGAAGATATACATACAGGCATACGTTTTATATGACAATACTAGCACGTCATTACAGCGAATATCTACTATCTACAAAATATTATTAGAGCAGTGGTACCAGTTCAGACTGGGAGGGGTAAAATGGAATGTAAATTCTCAGTGTGACGTACTGAAGTGTTATAATGATTTAAAATTAAAAGCATGGACATATGAAAACATATGAATTTGTTACAGTAACGTCTGTAGAAAATACATACAATTTTTTTTTAATTTGGAATGATACGAAATCAAAGTGTAAATAAAGCAAACCAAACTCAAGCAATCTTCATACGAGTATAGTAAAACAAAAATGCAATATAATATAATCTATCACAGACTTTTCTACATAACAATGTCAGACAAAACATCAAAAAATACATCTTCAAGAAAAAAATAGCAATAACAAATATGTTACGACTTTTGAAAAGTATAAAACTGAATGCAAATCAGAATAAAATTCTGAATCATGAGAAAAACATAAAAATATTCATTGCATAACTACATTCTCTTGGCCAGTCTCAAAAAAACAAAAACATATAAACTATAAAACTACACCAGTTCACAGTCTCAAAATAAAACAATCATCACATTAGCTTAGAAAGTGATTTGAACAGAATTTCAACAGACTTTTATGTCAATCTGTGGCCAATAAATAAAACCACATATCTTGATTGGATACTTTGGAAAAGATCACCGTGATGGTTTAAACGTAAGTAAACCTTTAACTATATCTGCTTTTTTATTTATTGGCCAACAGAAGGGAGATCGATTTGAGAGACAACCTTAGGCAAAGTTCAGGTGTTATCATATTACAAAATCAAGGCGCCTATTCTTTTTGCTGGCCAATCGATCTTTGATTATATTCATGTCTATTTTAATATCCCTATACATATACAAAAGAGCTAAACCCAGTAACCGCTCTTGTAACATAGTGTAGCGCAGACAAGTTTTTATCCTCTTTAGATGGGATAAACTTCTTTCAGATGTCGCAACACTTACCGGCAATGAAATCAATAATTGTAGGCATCTATTAATTGTCGATGCAAATATTTAGAGATTGTTTCTGTGTCATTACTTCAGCCGTAGTTTTCGTATTAAATACTGACGCAAAGAAAATTGTATATATTCAAAGATTCTTCATTGAACCGGTATACCAAATCTTGTAATATATTATCTATCAAAGGGACATATAGGTTCAGTCTGTAGTGATTTTCTTGTCAGATGTAACTATGTTCGGTCTGTTCATTTGCCTGCTTGTTATTCTTGGCACAGTCAGTTCAATACCCAGGGTTTCATGTGATTTCATTATAGCTGCGAATAGTATTATACAGTTTTTTTCGGAATTTTCGCGTCTTCCTTGTACAACTGAAATAATATTTCCTATGAGTTTGACAGCGTATTGTTCGTCAATTGTTTTTGATTGTAAAATCTTACTCAGGTTGACTGTTAAAGCTAATATATCACACAAACACTTTAGTGATTCGATAAATTGGGTGGAAGTAATGACAGTCTTCAAGGACTCCGCTTTTGAAGAAGCTCCGCGGTCTTTCCAATTTGATATAATATTTATTACCTCTACAATTTTCTCGAATTTGCTTTCAAATTGAAGCACGGAATCATGTATCACGGTCCACCGTGTTTCGCACACACTATGAATTTGATATCCGTCTAGTTTTCTTTTTAATACTGTATTTCTTTTAGCGGGTGCTTTGAAGAACGCAATTACTTCCTTCATTATACATACAGTATTTCTTACTTCTTGGACTTGCTGCTTTTTGAAATCGAAAGATTCAATGGATGATTTGCGCATGGGCTTTTTAGAGCATTTGGCAAACATTTTTGCAATTCCACTACAGCGCCCTTTTGTTTACATAACATTATCTTACACGTATCAGTAGCAATGCCCACACATAGTTTTGACTCTAAGTTATTGGTTTTAATGAAATGCTTGACTGTTTGAGCAAGAATTTGACCTGTAAGTTTGGGCTCCAGTGTATCTTCATCAAAATTTAAGTAGCAATCCACAAATCCCATGAAGTCCTCGTAAATATGTTTTTGATAACAATACCGCAATACGATTGACATTTGTGATTTATGGCTAATGTCTGTAGTTCCGTCAAATATAATACTGTAATACTGACTTTGCCTGACGCGAGTTAAAACTATGTAAAAGATTTCTTCGCCACAACATTCTATAATTTCATTTTGGATGCGGCTGCTTATGTACGTAGCAAGCGCCTTTGAGTTCTCTAAGTTTTTTTCAATAAATTGCCGCGGCTCTCGACTCTAAACTGGATTAGTTCTCTAAAATACCCTTCATTATTAAGGACATCCTCGTCATTCGTGCTGTCATTAGAAAAAACTCGTCCCCTATCTCTATGCCCTCTAAGTGGTATATTTTTTCGTCCTAAAAAAATTAAAAAATCTATTATAGGAGTCAATCTTAGCCGATTTTCTGATACCTGCTTAATTCGCTCTGAACCTATTATATTTCTTATATCATTCCATGAATTTTCGTATTACTTTAAAAAATTTGTAGCATCTGAAACTGCTCCTGCATGATATATTGAGTTCTCATGTGTCTCACATTCACCGGTTTTGCCATACAATTTCGAAAATTTCTTTAGTGCTACGGTAACAAATTGTCCCAATTTAGTTGATTTATGTACCTCTCCTAATTTTGCAAAAACCACGCAAAATTTACAGAAAAACCCTTGTAGTTCCTCTGAATATGACAGCAAAGGAAATTTTATTGTCAAATAAACGGCATTATTGGTTTCCATGCATTCACGTATCTCATAACAAAAAACCTTTTCTTCAAAAACTAAATATATAATTTGCCATCTCGGACGAACAAAATTCACTGAAGTACTTATATACAGGGACTTCCGAGATAAAATAGGATGATAATGATAGCTGGAGTATGGACCAAACACTTCGTAAATGAAATTATATTAAATTTCCATTTTTCCGTCTGTCATTTTTTTAGACACGATTCTTTTATGGTATAAAAATTAAAAACAAACAAAAATTAATTTTCTGGCTTATGCGTGGAAAATCAAAAATCAATAGACCATAGAAAATAACGTTAATATCAACCAGATCAACAAAACTCCGCTTTACAAAATTAATTATTTTTAGCATTTGCTCACATCAACCGATTTCGCTTTTCCTCATAACCTATATCCGCTTGAGAAGCCACTGTATACACTACCACCAGGCGAGGATACAGGATACTGTTGTACGCTTGCTAACGACTGTTTGTATGAGTCTGCTGTCTGAATAGCACTTTTTCCTTCAAAATCCTCATCTTTCTCCACCTTTTGTATAGCCGCTTCCTCAAAAATAATACGTTCTGTTTTGAAAATGTTTGCCTTCTCCGGTTTATATTTGGAGCACCGGTACAGAGAGAGCCAAAAAACGGGCTGTCCGCTCAAAGCGGGACGCATGGTCACGTTAAGTATAGAAGTGCTAGATGACTAGGAGGATCGTTGTACCATAGAAATTCCTTATCCAAGGATTTTTTCCTATTACCTGTTAAATATCTATAAATTTTTTGAGAAACGATATGCAGTGGTCTACAAGCAATCCTTTCAAATGAACGTTTTTATGCATTTCAGTCTAAAACCATATATTACTTCCTAGTAACAGACATAATTTTGTAGATAATATCTGACTTATATCTGGATTGAAGTCGTGCCCTCAAGTCATTTTGTGCAGTTGCGATGACATAGCACACAAGCCATAAAAGGAAAACCTCTATACTGCATCCGAAGGTTGAACATCTATCAAGTAATGATACTGAACAATTTGAAACAGATATTTTGAATATGGTGTCTGTGCACTGAACCTCACTAATCGTATTTTTCTCTGATAAGCGCTTAGTAGCTATCATTGGACCAATGAAAAAATAACAAGCAGTTTCTAAATCCTAAAAGTTGTTATAATAAATTCCGTAAATATGGACCTCCTTCTAGAAGAACATCAAAAAAGGAGGAGGGAGACGATTCCAGTCTAGCAAGGTATTCTTCATAGCAACATAAAGCAATATATAAAATTATTTGAAAAAATTGGCAGGCTTGGGCGTCGAGGGCAGGCGCCACCCGCGCGCTCCTTAAATCCACCACCCTCCAATAAATATTGACATCTACATACGTTTTATGATAAATATGAAGGATCACTATGAGACATCGAACGAGTAGAATTCACCTAAAAGTTTGAGTTTGATGATTTCTGATCTATGGAATTGTCTCTTACTGCCAACCTAACATTAATAAATGGTCTGTAAATTTTGTGAAAGTGCATACTTTTTTTCTAAGACAACGATTTCCTAATGCGGCAGTTGAATATCCTAGGATGGAGTTTCTGTCTCGTAAACATTTGTATCAAAATTATTTGTAGATAAACGTTCTAGTCAATCGTGCCAAACAATGACCTAAAACCTTTTGAGGACGATTCTAAAAGGCATAATAAGCATATGATGCAGTGAACGCCAACCATTTCAATGTTTTGAACAACTAAGGTTGTTTTGGAACAGACGGGGAACTATTTTGTTTCAAGTTAGTATTGGCCAAACACTTGGATATACAGAGGGCGGTGACTATGGTTAGCAGCAAATCATATCAACACGTCAAGGATAGAGTTGATAAATCTACCACTAAGAGCTCCTGAACAGTATTTGCTCGAAGATATCAACCGTACCTACCCATTACATACATTACCCCATTATTCAATTCTTTACCTTAGAGCCAGACTAGGTTAAGTTCATTTTTTCCTAAAATAAGTTTTATATATGAGGTCCGTGCTAATACTGTGAATTTTAATTTGCAGCTTGCAGAATCCGCTTACCTGTAATGATAAGGAAGTTACCACTTTATAAATCATTTTAAGTTTAATAAATTACAATACAAGAAAAATATTCCACGCGC